GGGGGCCCCCCTGAAAATTTTAGGGGGGCCAAAAAGTAGCTCCCTTTGACCTAGGAATATCCCCCAAGTTTCAAATCTTTACCTCAATTAGGTAAAAAGTTAGAGGGGGTGGAAGGGACTTTTGGATCACCCTGTATATTTAAAACGTTACCCAACTGTTAACGTTTATTTCAGAATAAAATAGATAAAGAAGCGTTAAGTACAATAGGATCTGCTACGGAAACCGCTTGAATATCATATCATTCCGCGATTGGCCCCATATCGACGGTGAAACTACCAAACCACGTATCTCGGTTTGCGACGTCGCAGACTTCCTGTCATACTTTATTTTTTAAATGAAAAACTACTAAACGTCCAGTCTTAAAAATTTCTGTGATTTTTTCTCCTCGTGCGGAGAAAATTCTGTGAAAATTTCAAGGAATGATATTGATTTGGTCCACTTCAAAAAAATAAAATGCGAGCGTAGATTTTTAAACACCGCAAACGAGATACGTGGTTTGGTAGTTTCACCGTCGATATTCGTCGGGCAATCCGCGATCTGACCGGTCGTGTCACGAATGGCCTCGACCTTGTTTTGGCTTTCACCCGTGCGTTTAATAAAATGGTGAGAAATAATAGACCACTAGACAAGGTACGAATTTCAGCATTCTGATACATGTTTTTTAACCAAAATTTCGCGTAGAACACGGTGCACTCAACGAAAATTACCGAAATCAACTCCTTCCGAAGATATTTAATGATTCTTAATGCGTGAATTCAAACCATCCGCTCATGAAAACGCAATGCTCTACGTGATTCACACCGAGCGCTAAACGTTAAAATGACAGTCTCTGCGATATAAAAATCTGGCAACCTCGATCTCAACGCTTTGGCTCAGCTATAGCAAATTACTTATAGTTTGAACAACACATGGTGGGAAATGAACATTGCTTGTTTGAGAAGCTTGCTGAAACCGTTGTAGTGGGCGATTCGACTCACGTAGAGCTTTGAGTTTCTTGTCAGCGGGCGGTTCAAATTCCTCGTAACCAATGTGAAATAAAAACGTTAATATCTTCGTTAGGATGTTGGTTTCAGTTATTTCCGTTGTAAGAATCGTGTTCTACGTAAAATTCTCGTTAAAAACATGTATCAGATTGGTTAAATTCGTACCTTGTCTAGTGGTCCATTCGTGATCTACTCTGTATTTTGCGTGGTTTGATCTAAGTCTAGGATATTTACTTGCCGATGCATGAGGTTATGTTCTCGTTCGCAAGGAAATGTTGTCCCATGAAGAGGAGGGTCTCGTCGAACAAAGATTCGTCAATGAGCTGGATGCGGTAGTTTATGGTTGGACGTCCATCTTTCGCCTCGTGCTTTATCCGTCGAAATATTGTCGACTCCCCGTTACCGCTGCCACAGTTTACCTCCATCCTTCAATTTCTTTCACGCTCTTCCACCCACCTTAAATAATTTAGCAAATGGTTTTTCACTGACTCATCGGAGGGAAACTGGATCCACCTGGATCAACGACAGTAATCAAATTATTTGCGAAAAAGTTAAGGGTAAATTAGACGCAAGTATGGCAAGGATGTATCGCACCTTTTAATTTTGCAATTATTCGTTTTTACACTCAATGTAACATGATCTATTTGTAGAAAAAAAGAATAAAAAAATCAGATTAAATCCTCGTAGCTTGGAAATTTCTTAAAAACTTCCTTGATTTTTCTTCTCGGTCAGTAGAATAATCTGTACCTATGAATTTCAAGCTATATAGCTTGTTCCTCTTCGAAAAAATAAACTAGAAACTAAGGTTTTGAGCTGCAATGGAAGAACGTGGTGTTGCACATTAGCCATCGATATGACATAATTCAATAGATGGTATAATATAATTACCAATTTTTCATTATTTAGACCCGGAGAAATTTAGTGAAAATGTATTTATTGACTAAAATATTCAGAATTTCAAATTAATACGTAATTATTCCACTTCCGAACTTTGCGAGAACAGCTCTAGAGCCAACACATGACATACTTTTATGTTTTTAGGAGACATGAAAAACGTGGTATGTGCTTTTGTATACCGGTACGCTGACAAAGTCTCAGCTCAAATCACATAACCACAACATTGAAGGAGTGACAAGTTTCGCGTTCGTATTTTCACATGTTTAAATCAAGAGGCAACTGCAATTTACGACTATAGGCTTGCGGCATAACTCGTTTACGAATAGGACGAATTTGGTTGTTATAAGCAAATGAGTAAGGTCCTTTAAATTAGATTTAACGAATTTTGAAGAAAACTCGATTCCAAAAATTTGAGCGCTTTTGCGGTGACACGTACGCGACACTCGTGGACAACTCGTTGGGTTTTCTTTTCGTTTTTCCCGGTCTATTGGCCGCACGTTATAAAGCGATATCAGGAATGCAGGCTTCACACCAAGCAGGAACTTAAGTTCCCTGCCCCCGTACATACTACAACACAACGTGTGACACATACATCCTAAAGGATTCGCACCTCTTTTTATTTAATTGTTGGTGCATGTTTTATACTCACCCCAAGACACGCACATACATTACACACATCAGTTGTTTTGTAAGTTGTTAAAGAAAGGTAGTCCCGTCGGAAAGCATTAAATATAGAATTTAGGTTGGGAGACTTTCCCGTCAAAACATAAGTTTCGTATAAAATAACGAGGACAATGAATATACTTGACCTTATCACAAAATTTGGCGCAAATCTTCGCACTTTTTAGAATCACGCGCTAGTATGTTCGAAACAATGATAATGAAGAAATATACTTTTCTGGCAAGTATTTATTGCAACTGTCCAAAGATGCTGTGCCCCAGATGTGAAGCTGAAAAGTAAACATCATATCGTGCAAAAAAGAGATTTTCCACATTTTTCAAGTCACCTACCTGTTGATCGGTTGGGAACTAAGGACATAGAGCTTACAGAGAGTGACGATAAATTAACCCCACGAACTATCCAACCGTGCTCTGAAAATTCCCGGAACAGCTGACAGATCGATAAAAGCGTGACTCCACCTCCGCCTCCCATTTCGTCGTACCTACCTCAGTTCACCATCCTGCTCTTCATCCCTCAGGACTGAAAATCGCGCTGTCGAAGCCGTTCACTGTGGCTGCTTCAGAAAATTTCCTCCGATAAATCTGACCTTGGTGCGTAGGCCATGTCTATTTTGACTTCTACAATCGCGTGCATGAGCATTTCGGGTCGTCGGCAGTTACCTAAACTATTATGACAGTGCATGTGAACTTGAAAGCAACAGGTTATTCGTGCCGATATAGGGGAGTGAAGTGGAGTTGTTAAATTTTAGATTGGGAACTAATTACATTATTTGCAGAAACTTCCACAGTTTCTCAAGTTCACAGTCTCGTTCAAAAATTCGAATGGTCCTCCCGTGATAGTCGGCCGCAGTGGTGTCCATCCCCCTCCCCCATCCCAGTTGGGGAGTCCCCCCCCCAAAAAAAAGTAGAGATGCTTCCCCCTCCTCCTACATAAGGCGCAACTCTACTCATTCAGCGGGGGGTCCAGGGAGCCTCTCCCGGAAAGTTTTGAAATAAAAAGACCTATAAAACGCAATTCCAGGCAATTTTATCAGTGACTTTAAACCTCTTCTAAGACTTAATTTTTTTTTTACAATGTTTTAAGGATAAAATGAACAGCCAAAAATAAGACACCTTTAAATCATATGGTATCATAAGGTAAATAGAATACACAGAAAATAAGTTAGTTTTTAACGAGTGAAAAACATTAGAAACAGTCAAGACGGACCAAGTAACTGAAATTGACAAATAAACCGTAGGTAACCGAGGTATTTAAAGGAACAAATATTGAGTTTAAAAAAAACCTGATCTTTATGGAATGAGATCATTTGAAGTGTCGGGAGAAAGGGGAGGGAAATTTTTCATTAGGGGGAGAAATGTTTTGTGGAGGGAGAAATTTTTCACGAGGAGGGGGAGAAACATGGGGCAACAGAAATACTTCATGGGGGAGACATTATCCTGGATGAGGGGGGAGCTATTTCTTGGATAAGACAGATTTCTCTTAGTAACGGGTAGATGTTATAATTGGAGGGAGGGATTTTTTTAGAGGGAGTAAGAAATCTTTTTCGAAATAAAGAGGTTTCCGCGAGGGAACACATTACTTTTGGGGGGGG